AGAAAGAAAGAAAGAAAGAAAGAAAAAGAAAGAAAGAAAACCTATCATTCCCAGGCTACAATATTCAGTTCTCAGATCTCAGAGTAGGATCAGTGTTAAAGCTTCACCTCCATCACAGAAACCATCCAGAGTACTTTGCCCTACTCTTTAGGGATTGTGTCACTACATAGGGCTCTTCTCTAAATAATAACTGCTGAATTAAAGAGGCATTAAACTAGACCATGTGTTATTTCTGAGGCCCTGAGCATGCTTTTTGGCACCTGTCAGTGTTAATTTATTAATATTTTTTTAAAGCTAGGAAGGTAAGCTCAAAAAGGTTATTAAAGTCAATTCAAATTTCTGAAAAAAGAACAAAATTCAATTTGTTTGGGTTAATTTATATACATTATTGTTTTAATATGATTTTATTACATAATTTATTAAAATATTTTAGTTTCATTAAGGTACTTGGGTCTTTTAAGTAAATTAACCAAAATCTAGTCATCTGTTCCTGATTTTCCGTAAGTTTCCTATTAGTGGTGAACCAACTGCAATAAAACTTTAAGGCTTATCTTCAAATAAAACTACTATTCTACCTAGCCTCCACAAGGTTTTCTGGGAATTAAATGAGATATGGGTTCAAAAGTACTTTGGAACTACAAAGCAACATATAAAGGTAAAGGATTACTACTAAATATCTTCCTAAGGTTTAGTGTCTAGTGAATTAAAAACAAAACAGGAAGTAAGTGTGTTTCCATGACAATCCTTAAAAATATTAAAAATGGGCATAAGTATATCTTGAGTAGAAATAATACTGTTAAGAATTCAGCATATCTTAAAATGAACAGTAGGAAATGTAGGTTATATTAATGTACCCTAAAGGTTATGGAGAACTGTACATAAGAGTTAAGACTGTTGTTCTAAATTCAAACCGGAGAGTATTAAAGTTACCCAGGTAGTGGTTTTCGTGTTGTGGTCGATAAAGAAAGGCCTCCCATTTGGTGCATGCCGGACTTCCCAGCCTTTAGGAAGGAATCCTTGCTCCATTTCAGCTGGCTGGGTCACCTGCTGTGCTGAATCACTCGGGAGGACCTGTGGTTGAGGGCGTGTGGCACCCTGGCCGGGCTGCAGCTGACCTGTCTCCACGGCGGCCTAGCACATTAATTAAGTCATGTTGTCATGTTTTCCAGAGAACACACAAATAGCTGCGGTTAAAAGGGAACAACCTGCAAACATAGATCTAAACACTACAGACTCACTTTTCTCCTAAAATGTTTTGTCAAACTTTGTTTTTAAAATAACTTTTATAATTTCTCAGCTAATTCTTGAGCAGTAAGATGGTGGTCACAGTCCAAGTCTGTACCGAGGAAGCTAGGTCAGAGGGATGTGACCCAACTGTAAGGGAAGCCACGGTGCCAGTTAGAGGAGGTTGTCTCCACTTGCCCAAAAAACGCACAAAGTGGGGGATTCCCCATATGTGGAAGTGGCTTTGAATTCTGGGCACACAAAATGAATGGCAAATATCCACTGTAGAAATGGATAACGGAAAAGTAACATATTCATATGATGAAATATTAGGCAGTTGTTAAACACACTGGATCGATATGTAAAACAGCAGGGATAGGATTTTAAAATAATGTTGCACAAAAAAAAGATTTAGAGTTATGTAATAGGACATCTTGGCAAAATTTGAAACACAGGAACATAAGCACTACTTGGCACTGATTAGTTCTCTATGTAAGTGTGTGGAAGAGACTGGAAGAACTGTGTGAGGACAAGGCAAGAAGATGGAAGTCTGCAGCCCAGAGGTGGGCCCTCACCAGGACCCATCATGCTGCACTCTCAGCTCAGCCTCCCAGCCTCCCAGCCTCCAGAACTACGAGAAAGAAATTTCTGTTTGTTTAAGCCAAAATAAATAAATAAATAAAGAAAGAAAGACTGGAAGAATACCCAACAGACTTAATATGGTGTTCCCTCTGGGTAGTGGGACCAAGTGTTTGGCTAAAATGAATTTAGTTTTTTATCTGTAAGATTTTATTTTAAGAATTAAAATGTCTAGAAACAAATATGGTAATTTGTTAATGCTGGTAAATTCTGGGTGTTAAGAAGATGGGTGTTTGCCTGATTATTCTCTGTACTTTTCAGTGTTAAAAAATTTCTCAGTAAGAGAAATGGTGATAAGATAAAATAAACTTTAAAAAAAGATAAAATAAACTTTTTTCTAAACACTTATAAGGAAATATCACCAAAGGCATTCACTGTTGCCAGGACAAAGTGTCATCGTCACAAATTTCTTGAACGGGTCCTAATCATCACTAAGATTATCTTTTAGCAAAATAATGATCTTTAAGCATTCAAATAACAAAATGACCCAATCAACCAAAATAATTTTGATCATCAATCTGTCCTTTTATTCCCAGTTGGACTTGTTTTACATGGTAACGAGTGGTAACCACGTATACTGGAGCTCTGTAGGAAATGGTAGCCAATGCCGGCAAACAATTAGAAGATGCTAGCAGCATCCAGTATATACTACAAAGTGATGTAACAGCTTCCATAGGAATGTGATGGCTTAAATTCTGTAAGAAGGCAAGTTAACAGATAGATTGCAGGGTACCTGTGCAGTGGGCTTTGTCCAGGTAGTAGTTCTGGAATTGTGATCTACGTAATATGATCTTCCTCTTTCATCTTGTTTTTCTTCCCAACCTGGTGGTAATCCAGATGAAGTAGGCAAAAGCTAAAGTGAAGAAGAATAGGAAAACTGAATATTAATTAAAAAGCAATTCTTTTAAAAGGACCACATCCTTTTCTCACTGCTATCTCTCTTTAAAATGAAGTGAGTTTTAAATTATATTTTAAGGTGTATGAAATGAAGTATACAACATTTTACTTAAAAAAAAAAAAGAACAGACCACGATGATGAGAGTGATGCCAACATTAATAAACCATGACAGTAGTGATAACCACACACTAAATGCTTTAACACAGATCCTGTCATTTAACCTCCACACAAATCTCAATGAGATAATTGCTATTAGTAGCCCATTTTTATTTACAAGGAAATTGAAGCTTAGAAAATTGGGGTAATTTCCTAACAGATACATTGTTAATATGGAGCTGAGATCTGAACTAGGTAGTCTAACTACAGAATTTATCACCCATGTGTGCTGAGTCAAAATTACCCTGGCCTTCTTTCTGTAAGGGCTGGGGAGTGGCTACTTAAGAGTTTATTACTAATGAACAAAGAGATCTGATTATTTCCAGATTTACTTAAAATAGTCCAAATTTGGTCTTCCTTTTTGGATTCGTCAAGGTTTGGCCTGGTTTCCCAATGTGTCTTATACATAAAAACTACCATCATTGGTCTGTTCACCAGATACACTCTCCCCAGACACACGGGAGCTAGATATACGTTGCTCACAGTTATGATGAGCTGTTAAGTCTACAAAATAATGGAATTTAAAGTTGCCCAGTTTTACAAAGGTCCAATAGTGGTGGGTAGGTAAATGAAATGTATTAGATACATGTACACAATAGAATATCATGAACTACTGAGATATTCAACCACAGCATGTTTAAATCTCAGGAACATCATATTAAGTGAAGAGGCCAGACATCAAACTACAATACTGTATGATTCCACTTATACGAAATTTCTAGAAAAGGCAAAAGTGTAGCTACAGAAAGCAGATGAGTGGTTGCCTGGGCTGGGAGCAGGTGCTGGGACTGAGGGAACTTTTTGGGGTGATGAAGGGTTCTTAAACTTGATAGTGGTGATGTTCATACAACTGTAGAACTTTACTAAAATTCCTTCATTTGCACACTTAAAAGTGAGGGGATTTCAAAGGCAAGGGAATTAAAAGCAAAAGTGAATTACTGGGACCT